TTTTTGTTTTCTCTGTCACCTGATGGCCAAAAATGACCGTCATACAACACACGCGCTTCTAGGATGTTAGAAGTGTATACAGAAACGGGAACGTTCGTTGACTATCGGATATTTTCATCGACTTGACTCACTCCCTTTCCTCCAAGGCCATCACAAAAGACAAACCGATCTCATGCACATCCGAGCTGCCAATGTCTTAAAAACCATAACGGATTTTACGACGTCACTCTTGGATTGCAACTGCCTCATACAGTATGAATTGCAAAGCATCAATCTCTACATTACACGTCGTTCAATGCATTTTGAAGTTTGTGGATATTCATATTAGAAAACTTAACTGGTGTTATTCATTTGATGTTTCTCAATGAGGCAAATACCTACCGATCACTTGATTACGAAATACTTATTGAACAACTATGTGATCGTCGGAAGGAGACTGATTTTATAGAATGTTTTTCCGATGAGAATTTTAAGGGAAAAACCATTTTCTATAGATGTTATTCTTAGTGGTCTGCTCTATCTCAGAATAACAGTATCCTCGCTTACGACAACTAAAATTGCCTCAAAGTGTCTTAATAACATGATAAACGAGTGCTATTCCACTGACGTGAACCGTTTTCTCTCACATTAAGAAAGCCTGATTGACATTTTCAGGGAACGTTTCACTTGAATTTATGTTCAGTTCTCACTGAAAACTGAATTCATACGATCATACTATACTATACTCTAGCAGTTAATAATCGTTCACTTTTGGCTAGTAATAGTGATATGGAAGGACCGATCTTTCCGGATCGTCATAAGTTGTAAATACACACTCATTAGCAGGTTTACCAATTGTTGATCAACTCAATCAGGCTGAGTCTGATTCTAACAAACCGCCGCTTGTGAAATTTTTGGGTTGTTTGCGCATTTTTCCTCTCCGGCTTTGTTTTTGTTGCGTCTCAACACGTCCATCCCCTGGCCCGTACCCCCAGGAATGAACCTGACGGACATGGTATTTCTTTCCCGGTCTCTTGCTGTGCTTTCACAATCGACTGTTCCAGTCTCTTCTGTTTTGGTAACGCACATTGAACACAAACATTTTCATGCTTCAGATGGATTCCTTAATAGAAATTGATGTTTCAAAAGCATTGTTTGATTTAGTTGCCGAAACTGTCAGGTAGTCTTGCGCGCTCCAGAATCAAACTTCAACGGCTTCTTGCAGTCTGACAATTTAGTCATTGATATACCATTGGTAGATCATGTTTTGCATTATTGAGTCTTTCTGTCACCTTCGTAGTGCTCGCCACTGATAAACACCACGAACTACTCAAAAGACATCAGAAAGTTGGTGCGCATGTGTGTGTGTGTGTGTGCGAGCGCGCTTTAAGCTGTTCATCCTGATTTGGCTTCAGTCACTGTGAGAATGCAGCATAAGTCAAGATTGTCGTGATCCAGGCCTACACGATGGCGCCTACCCTGGAGCGGCACGTTACAGTTTCAGGACATTGGCGATCAATCAAGTTTGAATGCTGACGTCAATAGCACGTGCATTGCTCCTGAATACACGTCATTGGTGGATGGGGCCAGCCAATCCTAGACAATACAGACAGAAGCAAGATTATGCAAGCAGTGCTGCAATCCAATTGGTTGAAGCCCAGAGAGCCAATAATCTCCTTTTGTACATATTATTTAATCACCTTTATTTCTTCCAGTACACGAACTACTTACTGCCTGTCCTCTGGCCTTTTCCTCGCGTCTCGTTCTCGTGGGACCTTGCTTCTGCGATCCGGTCCGTGATGGCTGATTATCGATTCGGGTCCTGTAATTCATATTGCGTGGTTGGTGTTCCGAATTCCGTGCGTATTACTACTATTACTACTACTACAATCATTACAGAGATTTAAGGAAAATCGGATGTGCAACATTACAACTCAAAATGTGTTAGAACGTGCACACAATTGCGAATTCGGGTCTTTGAACCTCGGGGCAATCGAATCACGGATAAGCAACAAAATCTGTGAAATTGATTTATATGCGAAAGTTCAACAATAAGTCACATGTCAAAAGTCGATGAAAGACCACCAGATTCGTCCAATTCAAAATTCAATATGAGGAGTCCACAAACTTTTTCTAGGTCAAATGACAGGTCTTTTGTTTCTCTCGTGAGATTTTTTCACCAGACCATGCCAAGCATCCTGGTCACGTTTAATCACTTTTCCGGATAATCAACAGTTTTACTTAAAGATAAACGTTAATCTCATGAATGCAAAAGCCGATAACAAAGACACAGAGTAAATTACAGCTTACGCATGTTGTGCTGCATTCGAGTCGGCATAGTAGGGGCTTGAACCCAGGCCATCGGATCCAACGATTTGGATGACACGGTTGTGGTCATAGGAAGTCCAGTAGGGATAAAACCGTTGGGTTGACGTGCCTCGCTCCCTTCGAGTCGTGTGATACTGTCTACTGAACCAGGTAGCGTGTTCTGACGTATCAGGGCACCGACTAGATGTTTCGGAGGTGCAAAGGCAGGTTTTGTGTACATGTCATTCAGAGCACTCGGTTCATCTGGATGAATGGATGTGTTCGGGTCCAAATCCATTGATTTTCCTTGGTCATTCTTCATCGTGAACTATGGGAGTAGAGCGTAACTAAATAAGTCACGTGACTACATTTTCTGCTGGTGAAATATGATGGAAATCTTGCTTTTTTATCCAAATACTCATTTCTCTTAGTAAATCAAAATGAAAATAAGCACGAAATAATTTTTGACTGAAGGCAAAGATTGAGCAGTAAACAGTTCTTTCATCCGCATTGAGACTCGTCCCCGAGACGCACCGTTCTTGTATCAAAAGGGAGAGTGAGTTGACAGGGCGGGAAATTGAGCCGCCAATCTTCTAGTTGGGATCTGTAACCCTTTCCCCCGGATCTACTTAACCGATAAACGATACTTACAGTAAACATATTTTCGTGATTACCTTGATTCGAGTTACAGTAACATGAACAATAAAGATGCAGTGTGAAATCGAAACTGATTGATGTTCAGTAATTGAATACCAACTTGCCGGTAACAACCACTCTCCCATTTCCCTTTACAGGCTGTACAAACTGCGTGGCGCCTGACACCGTGATAGAAGACAGAGCAAAGACCAAAACAGCAGCCACACGTAACATTACCATTTTGTATTGCAACCATTTCATATTCTTATAGTGTTACCACGTATTGCATCGATATAATTTCGTTTGAACCCTTCGAGTCTTCTCTCTGTTTGGAACATACTACAAAGCGTTTTTTCTCCGTTATCCAACACATTGAATGCTTTGACAAATGTCTGGGGTACTTAGGGACTAATGGAACTTCTGGGACGTTATACGCATGCAAGAAACAAAAAACCGAGACCTTGTGTCTGTAAATTGATATGAAATAATCTGATCAAAAATAATTTTCTTTTATCTCTGTTTTTAATAATGGAAAGTAAGTTTCCCTAGACTACTCTATAAAAAAACCTTATCGACACCCATAAAGTGTTCTACTCCGTTCAGAATAATAAAAGAAGGTAGACCACGCTAAATACAACACGTATTGCACACGATATGATCACATCTACCTGAAAGTTAAATTACGAATGATTCTATAAACATACGGATTTCAAAATGTTGGATTTGAAGCTGCCATCTTTGCGAAGAAACGATGAGCGATAATGGAAAACGCTTCAGATTGTCCAAAACTAATCGATCGATTCTCTCTTCACAACCATGAATTTGAAATACTCAATGTGTTTGTGAAACCGTGATACATTTTGTGCGTTTCTTTTGTTTTTCGCAGAATTTACAAGTGTAGCATTCAAACAAAACTGCACCGCGCACGAATAGCATCATTGTGTCATTCCTTTGTCTGGGTATTTTGGACTCATTTTCTTATAGTTATTCCAAGCCTGAAAATTGCATTATGTGGACAGCAGATCAACTGATTGTCTCAATATGCAAACTAATCTGTATCAAATTTGATTTCTATCCGTGAGTTACAGATTGTGTCACAATGCAACCCACAAAACAAACTTGTTTAACATCTGTCGCACGGATCTAGTTAAGTACGGTCAACTGGCCGAAGGATTTGAAAATCAACTGTACCTGACCTTGAGAATGTCACGTGGATGACTTACCTGCAACAGAGTCCGAGCCAGGCTGACCACAGTCGCGTCCGCTGCGGCCAGACGACTGCGTTGCAAATTCAAATGCTCAACCAGAGTGTTGTGTCGCGCCTCCAATTCCGCGATGCGTTTTTGTGCCAGCGAAATCTGTTCGGCGTGGAAACAAGGCATATCTTTTACAGACACCTCACTCCCCACTTGGAAAAGAACTCAACAATAAAATATTACTTTATTTATGAGTATTTCTCTTACTATTCAACTGATGAATATCATAAGGAAAGAAATAATGGTTGAATAATACACTGATAGTATTGTACAAAACGATGAAAAAACTGAACATACCAAACACAAAAATTAAAGGTTAAAGATTTGTGATATGTTTAGTCCGGCTATTTCACTAGTCACTACATACTACAAAGAAGAATACAAGTGAGCTACAGAAGCATCATTCGAAATGAGGTCCAAAACCCAGAGGGCTTGAACATATAGAACTCCAGTGCTAATCGAGCCATTTACGTCTTGACATTCGCATCTAAAACAAGCCAGTTCACCTTGCGCCCCCCCCTCCCCCGCTCACTGGATAGGCGCGTACTAATGGTAGTTGACACTCAAAGATGCTTACCTAGAGACAAACATTAAAGATGCAACCAACCCTTTATCCAGCAGGCACAAAGGAGTTGCTTCTTGGGAAAGCACCCTACAGACTACTGGTTTTCGACTATAAGTGACCCTCAAGAACTGTTCGGCGGTCACATGATTTATGCAGCATCAATCGTGGTCTCTTTGGAACCGTCAATTTTTGAGTGATTGCAGAATAGTTTTAGACAGAAAAAAGTGTAGTGAGAGAAATATGTCATTGATTATGGTGATAAAATGTAGGATTACTCTGTGAGGGCTGCAATGGATGAGGGGTAAAGTAAATGTGTGTGTGTGGTGGGAGTGTGTTTGATATGTGAAAACTTTGTACCTAAGGTCTACGTATAGTCATAACAATGATATTGTTTTCATGTGGATGTGATGTTGTTTTCCAAGTTGCTTGTTCCCGATGAACATATGTGACTAATGACCTCTGTCCACTGGAATACTATCAATCTAACTCTAGAGATGAGCAACATGCGAAAGGAAAGCAACCGATGAGATCATGTATCACGGTTGACAAAGTGCATAACCACTGGACTTTTAGGCTTCACACCAATCATTGACGTACATGTCCTCCCCTTCCTTCCGGAACTGAAAGCGTGAATCCTTCAGGCGGGGAATCAGACATGCTTATCGTGGATGCAGTGGTTTAGTCGATGTCACCAGCGTGCTTTGGACCCTGTGGTCCGGGGTTCGAACCCCACCATCGTCACCCAACTTTGATGATAGTCAGCTTTGCTGTCGCCCGATTCTATACCACGCCTGACCTAGAGGCGGGGCCTTATGCGGTTCGCCAATCCAAGTCCAGCGGGGCTTAAGTTACCGGTTACCATCACTGAACGGCAGCTCTTCGTGATCATGGGGTTTGCCCACTTCCCTCTGCTGATCATCACAAACTGGCGTGTAATAAAATAAATGACATTCTTAGTTAGTATGTTTGTTAAAAAATATTTCATGTGCTTACTTTAATTGTTCACCTACCCTCGAGCTTGTGAATAGGGTCTAACAGAACCAACTTTTTTTTAAACGAGTCTGTCCTATGCAGATCGATTCCGATGAGAAACTTCAATCCCGTTCATCTGATTCTAACACTTTGCCCAGTATAACTACTCCACAGCCGTCTCCCCTCGAAAAGCACAAAAATACATTTTACTCGAGAAACCTTGATCAGTTTCACGTCTCCCTCCTTCCTCCCTCTCTCACATACGCACGCGCACAACTTCAAGCCCCCAAGTTCCGTAGACCAATNTTTCAAAGTATGCAAACCATCTGCCTAAATCATTTTCATTTTTTAGGGGTTGTAATAACAATAATGCACATGTATTCAATGAAGGACGGGTTGGGGGACATGATACTTGATTCATCAGTCCCCAACAATAACCGTGGATCATATGTGGCATTTTGGAGAATGGAAACGAACGCGAAGCATAATCCGTCTCTCTGGTTGAGTGTCCCTCTATTTTAAATGATGCGCATCCCGGGTACAGATCACGACAGCATTCTGTCACACGCATACACGGTGAGGTGTTTCTGATTACTACTACGCATAAGTCTTGACCTCAACATTAGATCCACACGCACTTGCACGCATGCATACGCGCAAAATAAAACAAAACAAAACACGTATTGTGGCGGCATACCTGTTTTTGTGAACATGCACACTGTGAGGCGTGTGCGGGAACGAGCGGTGGTACGTCGGTGGATGTGTGGGCGTGTGATTCAATCTCCTGTTCCATACTATTTGGTCCGATCGACACGTCGTCGGCTCTGTGCGGGGCTAAATCCTCAAACATTGCTGCAATCGATCCCACATTCGGCTCACCCGGTGGACCGGAATTGCACTGAAGCATTTGCTCTGAGTCCACGTACATGCGATTCGCGGTGTGCTGTATCGGATGACCTTTCGAATGATGTCTGGACGGTTTACGCACAATGCGGGAGGTCCTACGGCTGCCCATACCGGAAGTTGGCACCGCTGTACAACTGCTGGAATGTGTCTTCCATTGTGTTGCAAACCAGACATGTGGAAGGTGGAGAAGGAAGAGGACGTGATGGTGAAGAAAAGAAGTATGTGGAGAAAAAATTTGACCCGATGGAAAACCCCATGAGTGCACAAAATGATGACTCTTATTCATAGCAAGGGTTCTATTGTAGTATAGGGAGGTCATACTCGCGTTTCATGTGAACCTGGAGTACAAAAATAGATTTTGTAAAGTAGTTGGAAATTAACCAATCAGAGTGTCTAACTGGTTGACCACCGTTCATTATATTTGCATAAATACTTGACTATTCTGATTCCAAAGACATTTTGTTCTATGTAATCCCGTTTAATCTCTACTCATGTGGTGCATGGCCCAAAAAATAAGAACTGAGAAGCCAGGAAGCACCAAGCAGCTACTTCGACCCGACTGGTATCTCACAGGTCGAATTCGAGCAGATTACCCAACGGACCACTGTGTAGCTCATCAGAACGTGTTTTGATTTCTTCCATACACGATATAGCATAATCCAACATTGCGTCTTAGCTTCGCAAATCAGGCTCTATTTGCTCTGAACAAGATTAAATTCACCTGGTGGATTCTGTTCACTCAAGAAGTCCGCAGGTGGGAATTTGACGTTTACACTCAAACCAGAAGCGAAACTGTGAAATAACACGAATCAAATCATTCTTGTTCTCTCAATTTGTCACTCGAAACAACTTCGAGCAACACATTTTATTCGATTTACA